AATTGGCAAAAGATGGAAGTTTTCTATCGGACATTGTTTATGACCTCAGTCTGAAAATCTACCGAGCTGTGGTGTATGATCCGAAGACAGGAACACGTATTTTCATCTCGGAAACGAAGAACCAAGTCCATTCCGCAGCTATCATTTCAGAAACAGGAAACCTGATGTTAGGCTTGTTTGATNAAGATGGAAGTTTTCTATCGGACATTGTTTATGACCTCAGTCTGAAAATCTACCGAGCTGTGGTGTATGATCCGAAGACAGGAACACGTATTTTCATCTCGGAAACGAAGAACCAAGTCCATTCCGCAGCTATCATTTCAGAAACAGGAAACCTGATGTTAGGCTTGTTTGATGGAACAATAGAACTCTTTGATTTGGTGACTGGAGATTTCTTACACAAGATCCGTCATGCACATCTGGGGGCAGTCCATCGAATCTACACCACCGATGATGGTACAGTTGCTATGACAACGGCAGGGGGATTGGACTCTAAGGATCGCTCTATACGGTTTTGGAGACTGCAAAGTAGTAGGATAGCTCTTTTAACCACGTTTACTCCTGATGCGAAAGTATCGTCTATGAACCTGTCGGGTGATGGACACCTTGTGGCTCTGGAAATAACCGACGTTGTTCCTTTTGTTCTTGTGGGAGACAGCAGCAGGAAGAAACTAAAGCAACTCAGTAACATGGACGAGTTCATTTGTAGCTACATTGTAGACTTGGAGGACTTCGAGGTTAAGCTTCCGTAGTTCTATTGTATATGTCCAAAATTGTACATTGGAATTTTTTATATTTCTTCTAAAAATTACTAGATTAATATCGTGATTATCGTCAACACGACAGGGTACCACCAAACCAAATCATTTAAAAAGCGTTTCACCAATGACATGACAATATTATAGGTTAAGGTAAAGAGGGGCTAATGTCCGGATAATATGATTAAAAATAATTTAAACTACAATTTAAGAACTAACTAGAGTTAATACCACCTGTTTTGGGAAACATTCAGTAAGATATTTCGGATCACTCCTCTGATCCGAATTAGATGCTAAAGTAAGGAAACAGCAATCTTAAGACGCTTTTAATAATATGATTAGAAAACATGATCTAGTGACGCTTATCTCTACGAATGGCCGCGAGAGCTGCGTCCTGTGTAACTCTTAGACCAATAATTTATTTTATAATTTCTATAACTGTATATTTTTTATTAGATCTTCTAACATAGTTTTATACATATTCTTACTTATCTTTTTATACATGTATACGTTAGTCTTCATGTTCTTGGACTAGGTGTCCTTACTTTCTGGGAAGCCTCTTTATTTATTGACGGGGAAAGAAGGTTATTCTTAAAAAAGATATCAGCGACTGAAAATGCAAAGCTCTGCGTAAATTTTCGAGTCTTTGACGTCAGTTATTTTAAAGAATAATTTCGGAATAATTTTTTAGAGAAGGGTAGTTGTGCTATACCCTTTAAAAATTTAGAAAATGACAATTTATGTCTTGATCAGAATACAAGAAACGTATGAGGTAAAACTGGAAACAAAGATCCCTCAGAACCCCAAAGAAGGAAAAATTCCACGACAGCAAGGGCTTATTCGTTGGCATTGATTTAAACTATGCTGGACCTCATACAAAAAGTAAGACGGCTTGCCTCATCCAGAAATTCATTTAACTAACTAGTTTTATGATGTACCCACTCATCACTTTCTCATATAAGGGGGTATCTTCTTGGAGAGCCTATACTCGATAAAGCAGTAATTTTACGAATATGTCTTACAAGGCACTATTTTTATATATGTCCATGTGCGATTAAAACATCTTAAATCTCAGTGCCTCTTATATTGAAAATATTCTAAATTGTTAAGCATTCGAACCAAGAGAGAATGAGCTTGTTCGAACTCTAATTAAACTTTCTTACCATACGTATAGCATAGAAGCCGTACATAGCCAATTAATTTTTTCTTTTATCATGATGATAATATTTTCTTTCTTAACTTTTTTCTTAACTTTTATTTTACTTTTTTCATTTGTTTTTGTTTTGGTACTGAAATCTTCATGTCGAAGATAAAGTCAATAAAGTTGTTGTCAAAGCTTTATGCCATGTTAACAAAATATGAAAAAGCACTTGGGACAATGATTTCGGCGTGAATTTTGTAACGGAGCGAAGCTATATACCGCGCCGATTTTGAAAGTGGATCGTCACATATCGGATAGGTTTCTGCCACTCTTCGTTGCAACGTGAACAGATTTGTGAATTGCGGCAGAAGTAAATCAGTAAAAGCTAGGATTTAGTGCACCAAACCCTCTCGACCCGCTACAACTCCGGGACGATGGTCGATTTGTGTGAAAGATACGTTCCAGTTCTGTGCCGTTGCCGTTCATACTATAGCAGATGGCTTTTCATGTCGGCACGAAAAGCTATCAGTTTAGTGTAGGTACCGGAAATTGAGGGAGTAGAATTAAACTTCACGAGGACCCTATAAGAAGTAGAACTAAAACTATTTGAAAGATCACAAAGATTTTGTGGCCTCTAGAAACTAAAATAGAGTAATTTGGAGTTTAGTAATATTTATTTCACAAAAATGTACCTTAATTCTCTCTTCCAGTAATAGGCCATATTTGCTGGTCGTCATTTGATTGGAAGTACAAGAAATACACTTTCTTTAATTTTCCGTTGTGTTTAAAATTTATGAATCGAAGTAAGCTGTGAATAGAAAAACATATTCTTTTAACGGGACGAGACGCCAAAACCAAAATTGGTCGTTTCATTTCATTCCAAAGATGAGGTTTGATAACGTTTACAGCAGGAATCTGATAGGTTAACTCAACAATATTCCATCCGCTAGATTGGCTTAGATCATCAGGAGATCATGATTCTGAACGAGGAATTCTTGAACGGTGCAGCATGTCACTCAATTTAGACATTGATAAAGTATTGACGGGTGCGTGAGATTCTCACTCGCAGGCTAGGTATCGCATATGTCGCCCCTGTCCCTGAAAACCGATATCAGTTACAAGAATGCAGATGATATAATTGGGATACATTTTGTATCAGGTGACTAATTGCCCTTTCCTTAATAAGCTTATGAACATCGAACTCTCTTATAGTTATGTCGAAATGCGTTTTTTTTTTTATCTTGGTTAGCGAAAAATTAATTCTGTGTAACAGCACAACAAGCTTGCGCACTGAGAATTCTTAAAGAATTATAACCTTTGAAGGATGGTGTCATCTGATCCCAACTACAACAATTCTCAACTTTGCTAGATCCTTGTATATTTTCTAAGACCTGTTACTCTATTATATGGAAAGCGTAGAGACAAAGACGAAACAGGCACAGCAGAACAATTAATTCGAAGTAACAGAAAAAATTGTAATTGCACATTAATGACAATCACAAATTAGTTTGTTATAATTATTCATGCTGAATGTTATAATATTAAAGATCATCGAAGGCGCTTTACGAGTGTTGTTAGTATGAAAGTAGATATTTTTTTTTTGGTATTGAACAGCACGTAGATATATTTTTCTACAGGAAAACTGAAGTGCCAAAAACAGTTAGGAGCGTTATCCAGTATAATTAAAGAGCCCTATTTCAGCCACTCTCCCCTAGAAAAATACACTTAATTCGCTGCATTATCCGTTAAGAATAATATATTTAACAGCTGAAATTAAAGTTTATCTTGGGAAACAAATTCAACGACAGCTTTGTGATGTTTGATTTCTATACAAGGGAAATCCTTGTAAAAGTTGTAAAAATAAGAGCTTTGTGCAGCTTATTTTTTTATGAGAACGATTATAAAACCTTTCGACTTGTCCATTATTTTTGAGAAGAATAAATCTTGGTGGGATCATAAATGTGCCAAAGAAAATTTACATTCTTGCTTATTCGTGGGTCATGTAAGTTAAACGGTATTGCGGCGAATTTATTCACAGAAAGCCGTCGCGATAACAAAAAAAAAATCAAATTTGCAGGCAGGTGAAAATGTACAAAGACCAGTTCTGTATTGAGGAGGAAGTTTCTCAAGTGAAAACAAAAGTTTTTTTCGGCAGAATCATTTGAATAAAATTCTGCTTTTTGTACTTTGGGCAGATGCTAGTACACTTTTGTTTGCGTTGTAGATGTTTTCCATTAATTGTCAGTGGCGATTGTTGCCTAAAATTGCAAACCAACACCTTTGGTTCTGTTTCCATTTACGCTTTTCTAAAATGAATTGAGGTTTTTTTCTACTTGATGGTTAATTTGTGTGAATTATAAATGAGAGACAATCAGAAAAACAAACAACAGTATATAATTTCAAATGCGAAAACGTGGGTAATCTAACCTCCGTCTGCAACCGCAAGTCGTAAAGACCTTATACCGAGAATCGCAGCCGAGCTAGCTAGCATAAATTACCAAGCTCGAGCTCAATCACCATTTACTTAGTCTTTAAAAAGCTAATTTGTCAATGATACTCTGCGAGCAACATAAGAAAAACACAATGCCCATCGCAAGTGGAATCCAAACAAAAGAGATGGTCAACCAATCGTCGGATTCTATTCGGCAGATGTTGCTTTAATGACTTGAATCGACTTTCGTTGTTGTGATTCAAACAGGTACCATATGTTTCGCGGTTACTTTTTCTCATTGAAGAAAACGATAAAAACGTGCTTTAATTTCCGCTTGCAGATTTGTACAATACTTTGTCGCAATAATTTACGACCTAAAATCTCCTTCGGTCTAGCGAGAGAGACAGTGGAAAGTCAACAGCCCGTTCAAGAAGGCTTATTTCTTCGGAATCTCCTGTTTAAAGTGTTGATATTCTTATCTGGTTGTTTATAAGTTAAAGTGGTCAAAAATTCACAGATCCATAAAACTTCAGGTTGGTTGCAAAAAAGTGGGCCTGAAAGTGATACTGGAACGGACAAGATTTAAGCCGAAGAGAATTGGGGACTTAAAGCTTTTAGGTGATAAACCAGGATTTCAATCGAATGGCATATTTTAAGTTGCATTTCTAATATGGCATTACAGTTTGGAAACACTACGAGACTTCATCACATCGACTTTCCTTCGGCGGCGACGACAGAAAGCGGGGCGCAAACCTGCGATCAAGCGGGTCTACAGGCAGAAATGAAGCCGACTGTCGCTCAAAAAGATCTTCATAAAACAGGCAAGGTGAATCTAAAAGTTCGTAGAAAAAAAGACAAGGAAATGAAGAACAAAACACGACAGGAAAAGAGTGCTCAATCTCGAATAAAAACTGAAATCTTAAATAATGGTGGCGGTTGTGATGTAACTCAAGACGGCCATCCTAATCGATCAACACTTTTTGGCACCTTAACCCATCATGCGGCAACACGTTACTTGAATTTAACGGTAGAGTGGGATGTCTTAGAATCGTTTTCCGAGTTTGCCACGTTTCTAGAAGTTCAAAACCCTATCTGCCCCGCACATCTTATTGACACCCCAGAGAAACTCCTCAACGTTTTGTCTTGTGAACTGTGAACTTCGTTTTGTTTACCGAGATCATTGCAGCTTGCCAGGGAAAGTTGCTGTTCAAAACTAAAAGATGCGGACGAATACAGGGAACTGTTGGCTGGATTCACTCCAACACACCTATGAGTAGTATGTAATTTACAAAGAACCGAGAATTCGGAGCAACGCACTGAAATGAAGGAAAACAAGTAAAGCGGCTTCATAGACTTAAACTTATTTATTCGTCCTTTATAACTAAAAACCATCAAAAGAATTTTTTCATCCAATTCACGGTGGTGTGAATGTCGTACATTACCCATATCATTAGTTTAATACCCAAAGAAAATCGCTCAGAAATTGCTTTATCACATTAGTTTTTCAGCCCAATTGCCGCTGAATTTTGACAAACATTGACAATTATCTATTTTAGCCGACACAACATTAGAATATATCCATGTATTAAGCAGCAAACTGCGAGATATATCTAGTTCATAGCGTTGCCATTTCGCGAATATTTACCATTTATCTTGTGCGAAGGCTTTTACAGTTAGGTACCGCATGTTTTCTTTTTCTTTTTATCAAAATAGAAGCCATTAACTTGTAATATGGTATTGAAATAACAATTTTTTGATAGCAATTGCTTGAAAAAGTGATAAACATTTCTCTACGCTCGACACCTGCATGCGATATTCGTAAACTGATTTTTTAATACAAAGTGAAATAAGGTATTTGCAAAAAAGTATAAAAATCATGATAATAAAAAAGTCTTTACTCTCAAAGTTCATTCATTTTCAATTTAACTGTTTACTGCTCAGCATTAAGACATCATGGTTAGTGAGAGATTATCTATACCCTGGGCTAGAATGTTCTTAAACCACACTATCTATGCTACCAAGGTAGTAAATTGTAGATGGCTTTGTAGCTGTAGATTGCGCTTAGCTGGCGGTTATTTTATTCAATGAGCAAAGAGTGCGTTTATAAAGGTGTTCGCAGACTTAAATCCTAGTTCTTTTGTCTCACTGGGAAAAGCGCATCTTTTACATTTGTCCAGTCTTTGTTATAAAAAATTTTAACAATGCAGAACTACAATGATATAACTGAACGAAAATGTTAGGAAAAAATAAATACGCAATATCACGAGCAGAATTCATTGTTTAGGGGGCGACTTTTAGTTTAATTTTGCTTTTGAGTTTAATCTTTACATCTTTAAAATGTTGTTAACACATGAAAGCCAGCAGGGAACAATATTCATATATTTTTTAATCATCTCGTCTTTGGTTGCCCGAGTGACTACTTTAAATTTATCCAGGTTTTCCACTTTATAAATGAAAATTGAGTAATTTTCTTCCTTGACGGATCATTTGAACTGGTGTGCATGTAAATGATTTAGCGATTGAGAATTGCTTGCTACTATTTTTATTCAATTTTATGTTAAATTTAACGCTGTACCTTATCCCTGAACAAGCATGCCGGTTAACACAAAATTGTTTTTATTAAATATTTTTTAAACTTAGGTTTTAAAAATGGTTATTCGTTCGACCGTGCTTTCAATTTGAAACATTACTTGCAAGATTTTAGAAAAAACTCCCTTTTGCTTTTACGCGTTGGTTGAATTGTGATTGTAATTAACAAAAAGATTATGCTTCCACAAAGCAACGGTGAACAGCTGTACCATAAAATATTCACAATGCGTAAACGCTCATAAGATAAGCAACAAAACCTTAAAATCACTGTAAATTAAAACGCGTTAGGGGATTCTAACATTTTGAATAATCTATGTCACTTCCAATATCTTACTCAGCAAAGGAAGTCAAGGAAATCCAAAATATTAAGCACTAGTTTCGGGCAGTTTTGTTGGCCCATTCTCTCTCACTGGTTATTTATAAGTTTCAGGAATGAAAAGGCCTGCAGCTTGACTGGCTTGCATTGCAGCCGGAACTGTAACTCCATGAGACCTACAATAGATCATACTAGAGATTCAGGACCTGGGATTTAGGCTGTCTGTCGCAGGCTACATTGAAACTGGTCAAGCGTTTCTTCTGACATGAGCGTGCACAAAAGACATCTGGACATTTGACTACTGTTTGTCCAGCTTTCCTTCTTTTAACACAGTAGCGACCTTATACTAATCATTTATGCTAAAAGGCTTTGCTAAAATGTTATGATTACTGAAAGACTGGACGCTACAAATTTAAATTATATTTGGGATTTCGCAATAAATGTTCCAAAATATAAAAATTAAAAAAGAGAACTGGCTTAAATATCCCACTGTAGAAACCATAAGTGGAATGGATACTACCTTTCGGTGCAACTACTTCTGGGGTCGATTGGGTGGACGTGTTGCTTATGATTGGCTAATGGTTGCCTTGAATACTATCGGCCAATCATAACTAATGTTTGTACCTATTCTCCCTAAAGTTTCCAAAGTGTAGAAAATGTTAACTGTTTAGGTCTGCATGTCTCGACAAGAACATAGCAGGAAGGCAGTCCAACTTATTCGGGGATGGTTTGACTATTTGTCCAGGTTCATACCAAAGCTCGCAGACGTCTTCACTACTACGTAATTAAACTGAGAAAAATTGTATGTTTATATTACTTGGGGGATCTCGTAGCAAGAAGCTTTTAAAGCAATCAAAAGTACGATCAGCTCTGCACCCCCGTTGAAATGATCTAGCTAGTGAGCCCTCTATCCCACTGTTGGCAAAGTGACGTCTTAGAGTCCGGTTTAGGAGCGACTTTGCTCCAAAATGGACAGCTTGTTGCATTTATATCCTTGTAGAACGTCTGCATGCTCAAAATAGAATAGTAAAGTTTGTCGACTGTGTTGGCCTAAGATCGCTTCAATCAGTACCTGTACAGAAGAGAATTGTTAAATGTGGAAACAGACCATAAGCCATTGGTTCCCATTTTTCAAATGTCTATCCATTCAGCACCCAAATTTTACTTTTAAATTTTACGTCTACTTCGTTTGCAATCTGCATGTGAGTGAAGTATCTTCCTGCTTCATTAATGTACATAGAAGACATGCTTAACAGAGCCGTTATCTCTGGGCTGACCGCACTCAGTAAGAGGACAGTTTGGAATACCAAATCTTCCAACTCAAGCAAGAACAGTAGCTGTATGAAGAAACTGCTAACATCAATCAAGTTGATTAAATGCGCTTATCAGAGTGAGAACCCATCGGTTGATGAACTTAAGCAATGTACGCTTTTAGACCCCACACGGCAGACCCTACTGGACACTGTTAAGACAGTGGATGGCCAGTCGCAACGGAAGTGGTCCTCACTTGCATTTGAAGAGGTATAGGAACAACAAAGACTGAGAGGTAACAGCACAGCACAAGGTAGACAAGTGAAGTGGCGGTCATTGTTCCCATTTTAATGAGGCCACAAATGATTTTTAGAGTCCATTCTAGTCGCCTAGGACTGGGTACGTCGGGCACATGATGTGTTGTGCATGTCAGATCAAGGAACAAGTCCCAAAACTGTGCAGTCTGTAATGAATTTCTACCGATCTTAACGGTTGATTCTGATTTTTTATTGCTCCGAATGTGTGAAGGCGAACCCATGGTGTGCTAAGTTTCTTCGTGTGTGTTGAATATTGGAGGCCATTATCTGTATGGTAAATACCCTGCGTAGCAAGCGTTTCCGCGCAAGTTCGTCTAAAAAAGTTGGCATGAGAGCAAAATTCCACCCTTTTTTTTGCTCCCGCTCTAACTTTCGCGCAATAACTCGATTGGAAACGCTTGCTACGCAGATTATATTGTAAAGTTTGACGTGGTTGCCTTGATCTGAGACTCTGCTTTTGCAACTTGCAAAAGATCTGGTACGAGGTAATCACTGTAATTAATAATAATCAATAGTCACGAGTAAGGTCTCATCTCCATAGGTGAAGAGATCTTGGGCAATTTTTGACCATGGGGTATTTGGAAACTTATGCGTCATCAATGGTTCTGGTGGAGAACCTCTGCATCAGCTCAATATTGCAAACGAATGGTACAGAAGCAACGGTATGTTGGTCAATCCCACCAAACACCAAGCCATGATAATAGGAAACACGGAGCATGTGTTTTCCTTTCCGCTACAAAAATCAGTTGGATTGTTTGGAATAACTGTGGATGACAGACTCTGTTTTGATGAACACGTCTCTAACATATGTAAAAAGATAACTAACCAATTCAATGTCATAAGCAGATTTCGCAAGCTTATACCTGCCACTGTATTATTACGCCTCTACAAAGTATTTATATTACCACACTTCCTGTATTGTTCTNTGCAACTTGCAAAAGATCTGGTACGAGGTAATCACTGTAATTAATAATAATCAATAGTCACGAGTAAGGTCTCATCTCCATAGGTGAAGAGATCTTGGGCAATTTTTGACCATGGGGTATTTGGAAACTTATGCGTCATCAATGGTTCTGGTGGAGAACCTCTGCATCAGCTCAATATTGCAAACGAATGGTACAGAAGCAACGGTATGTTGGTCAATCCCACCAAACACCAAGCCATGATAATAGGAAACACGGAGCATGTGTTTTCCTTTCCGCTACAAAAATCAGTTGGATTGTTTGGAATAACTGTGGATGACAGACTCTGTTTTGATGAACACGTCTCTAACATATGTAAAAAGATAACTAACCAATTCAATGTCATAAGCAGATTTCGCAAGCTTATACCTGCCACTGTATTATTACGCCTCTACAAAGTATTTATATTACCACACTTCCTGTATTGTTCTACAGTATGGCATTTTTGTGACTCTCGAAATAAGGATAAGCAAGAAATGCTGAACAAACGCGTTCTTCGGGTCATCTTAAATGACAAAGTCTTATCATACGGTGACCTATTGCAACGTATTGGACACTGTTCCCTCAGTAACAAGCGGATACAGAACATGCTTATAATTATCTTCAAATGTCTTTATCTTGAACAGTATCCGCAGTATCTCAAAGAATTGCTTTCTCTGAGATCTGTTGATTATTCGATAAGAAGTACTGATATCCTTAGTCTTCCTAAACCTGTTACTAC